AGCGGGAAGCGCGCAAAACTACGATGAGGCTGAAGGAGCTGTCTCTCGAATTGTCAATTCAATTGGATCCGACTCCAAAGCAAGCCGCACATGCATCGCCCTGCCTTCAAGAACGCGTTAACTTCAACCACCACCTGACGGTGGCGTCGTGCTGCACGGCTTGTACACGGTGCAGGTTGTCATTCAGACATGCTTGACACGAACCAAGTTGCAGGTTTTATTTTCTCATGCAAAAAGGCCGAGGAGACAGGAACTTCAACGTTAAACCAGCCTGTGGTTCTGTGGCCAAGGAGTTTACAACAATACATGGATAAGTTGTTAGTTGCAACTTGCTACGTCGTCGCGGTTATCATTGTACTAGTATTATGATACCGCTTCTTATCCACTTCAGTATTAGACGAGAAGTATCAAATATATAGCGAAGCTCTCGGTATATTTGCGCTGTGTGCTGTACTGACAGTTTGCCAAGTGGATCGTTCGGATCAAGCCTCATCTTGAGGTGCATAATCCTTCGTCCTGGCAGGGAAGCGCATCGCCCTAGAACTTCTAAGTTAGAAGGGTGAGGAAGACGTTTACTGTTAGGAAAGATGTGTCCAACGATCAATCCGATCGAAGCGCGCAGAGGCAAAATTTCAAAAGAAGCGGAGCGTACCTGTAGCAACTTGATCTTCTTCCTGATAAGGATTGGACGAATTCTCTGAAAACTGATGCAGTAGCCACTATTAAGTCACGTGCGGTTCATTGTAAGTGTTGGTAAAGATTGTAATGTATGCTGTCCGATAGCGAGATGTTGTCATGTTGACTGTAAGGTCTTTGTTTCTTGACAACAAATCGAACATTCAAGGCGTTGCCACGGTAATTGTAGCACGAATTTTCGAAAGGTGTTGGTAGCGAAAATACCGAGTGGTAGGGGTGAAAGTCAACAGCGAACGCCTTGTGGTGTAGCAATCCTGATGCGAAAATACTCGTTACTGCACAAACTTCTACCTGCTCCACTTGTTTGTTCAGAAGTGGAAACTTAACAGGCGCAGTCGTATCGCGCCAAAGATTAAAACTCCTAGCCTAGCAAACCTTCACCTCTCTATCTTGGTGAAGAGAATTCGATCATTCATTCTACAATATACTTTGACCATAATCCTTCATCTTGCCACCGATCGCAAGCATGTAGGTGTCCCACCACTCAGGACAACCTAAGCAAGGCCCATTTCATGAGTACATGCAACAGTATGCGCCGCGCGACCAGATTCGACCGCAAGCGCTAAGTAATGATATCGAGTCGCGTATTGTATGTTACAAGGCTTCTATAGGAAAAAAAAAACACATAAAAATCAAAGAGAAGGCCAATTTATCATCATGTAGGTGTCCCACCATTGGTATTCGTACGCGCTGGTTCAAGTGGTTTTACCTATTTAGAGGCCGTGACTCTCGTTCCACTCAGAGTGAGATGCGCAAAACAAAACATGTACCGGGATCTTGCTAAATAACTGCAACAGCGCTTCACTACTAGTTCGTGACCACAGGTACTTCAACCACTACAGATCAATAGTTCGGATTCCTCCTCAACCCGCAACTTCTAGGGGTTCGAGTACGTCGACCAATGCTAGTACCTCTTCAACAACCTTCAATACGTCGACTTCGACCGATAGTGTACGGCAAAGTCCTCAAGCTTCTTTTTGTGACTGCAGTAGTTCAGCTGGTACCACGATAGCCGCAAATTCTAGATCTGTTTGCTCGGTATCTCTGGAGGATTACCTCAGATATTTCAACGCCAAACCCAAGTCTACAGTTCTAACCCTTTAAATTGAAGCAACGGGCAGTGCAGTGACCTCATCGTCCAGTAGGTGGGAGCGCATCGACAGGAAAAATTACGCGAATGCGAGGAATTGTCAGTCAGACTATCCTTCGGTACCGACACCATGTCGGCCAGGATTCTGAATCCAGTAGCAATAGCGCTGATCTTGTAAAGGGAGACAAGTAAGGGTACCTGGGTGTTCGTGACGTCTGCTCACCTCGTGTCGTAGATTTTTTTTTTGCTCTTTTCGATTGAGCCCAACAATTAGTGCTGTAGTACAGTATCCATTTTTACTTCGGCGGCCTCTGACCAACGCAAGAGATCCCTCATTGTACAACATGCCGTCGACAATAACTAGGTGCTTCATGCACCGTGCATTTAGGATGCCGACAACAATTGAACCTCCAACGACAACCAGACTACTTAGTCAGCGGTAATTCCTAGTGTAGGACCTTGTTGACTCCAATAAAGTCCAGCATCAAACATCTTCTTTCCGTAAACTGACATGCGCAAGCAACTCCGAGTTATATCTCAACGCGTTGTAGTGTCGTGGGGACTCTTCCACCATGAACGTATCCTGCAAAAATCGACGGTTTCCTCTGTACTCACGACTTCTGGAAGAGTCTTGGTAGCGTATGAGTCCCCGTATCTTCGCACCTAAAGCCTCACTTCCCAACTTCGCCTATCGAGCATCAAGCTTCCCATAAGATGAAGTTCCTGACCCCGCTCCTGCTTGTTCTCGCCATGGCAACCGTGTCCACAGCTCAGACGGCTGCATCGCTTTCGGCATCCTCATCGCTGTCAGCATCTGGGTCCACATCGGCGTCAGCGTCCACGACTGCGTCTTCTGCAGGATCGAGCGTGTCTGGAAGTACCAGTGAGCCATCGTCGGAGTCAAAGTCGACTGAGCCCAGCGACGTCAATATGTTAGGCTCAGCCGCAGCCTCCAACGCCTCTGATGTCCAAGTGGGCGACTCCGAAAGCGGCTCAAGTGGCACGGAAGATCTTTCCATCCAAAGCGATGGAACGTCAGAGGGCGATTCCGGCAGCAGCGAGTCTGGGGTCGAGGAAGCCGCCAGCGCTGCCTCAGACTCGCTCGCAGACACAGGCTCGAGCTCGGACGCGGCCAGTATCCAGACAGTGGCGGTGTACGGATCGACCATCGTCGCTCTGACCATTGGAGCCCTCATCTAGACAGGGTTTCGTAGTTTTGGGTTAACCATTCCTTCAGCAGCCAATGTAGATATGCTGGTGCTATCCGCTTAAATCGTACATGAATCTACTCGAGTGTTTCAAACTCTAGAGAATTCTCCCAAACTTAGCACGGCGCAATTTGCGTTGCCCGTTAGAAATTCCTGCTATTCCGTTTTTCTTGGACGGTTTTCACCTTCTTCATGTTATAAAGCTCATACAGGGGTATAAATAAAGGCGTGGGCGTACATGCGCACTCGATATTCGTTGCAAAACTGCCGCGGATTTTCTTTCGCAGTAGATTGTCCGTTACCAGTAAAGAGACCGCTGTTGCTGGTTCACACGAACCGAACGCGACCCGTCCGTTGTCATTCGCACATTTGCGCTCCCGTTCTCGCATCTACAAGAGTCCCAGTCGCCTCGGTTCCTTTTCAAGATGAAGTTCTTCACTGTCATCCTCATTGCAGCAGCCATCGCCACTCAGGGAGTCACTGCTCAGACCCCCACTGCCACTACGGCGACCCCTGCGACGAACGCACCGACCACGGCCCCTCCTACTACACCCGCGACGCAGGCGCCCACAACCGCCCCTCCTGTACCCGCGACGCAGGCTCCAACAACAGCTCCCACGACAACCAGCGCGCCGGCGCCCACAACCGGCGAGATGGATGGAAGTGGCAGTGAGACCACCGAGACCACTCTCGAAGGCTCCGAAAGCGGATCTGGAGGCAGCACCACCGATGTTGGTGACGAGTCGACCTCGGCCTCGGGCTCGAAAGAATCGGGATCCAGTGGGGCCAACACGCAGATGTTCTCGCTCGCTGCATCGGCCGTCGTTGCCACAATGGCAACTTATCTCTTCTAAGTGTTCACTTGGAGAGGTTGTCCGTTTAGGTTAAATGCTTGATATAAATTTCGATCAACATTGATTCCGAAATTCAAAAAGTTTTTTTTTCTCGGTAATTTTCAAAGCCTAAAGACTTTCATGTAGATATTCTAATAACACGTTATGAGGTTTGATGCCGCATGTTGCCGACGAAAGAAGTGCGTCTTGACGGAGGAGTATCGAACTTGTCTCCGATCTCTGCGTCCTTCAATTTGAGCTCCATACGCGTCATTCCGATGGATAAACGTCGTCCTGTTCCAGTAGACGACGTAGACGACACTAGCGAGCTGGAGGATCCGTCACGGGCCCACAACGGTGGTAATGACACGGGATTCGAAGGCGTACGGCTTCGTACAGAAGCCTTCTCGTCCATACCAGTCGAGCTACTTTTACTACTTGACGGTCGTGGGTTAGACGCAGCAATAGGCGGTAAACGGTCCTCCATCTTCTCAGCAACCACAGTATCATCACTCTCATCCAGGTCTTCTTCGCTGCTAGCATCGGATTCCTCCTCATCATCTGTATCCTCTTCAAAC